TCCACCGAACCGAGACCGAGGTTTCAACTGTTTGGTCCGCATCAGAGTTAGTTTGCATTCATACCTCCCAAAATGGACCAAACAAACTAGAGTTCGAGTAAAACTGGCTAAACAGGGATGGTGGGAATGGATTCTGGATGAATCGACAAAATAGTTCAAAGATTTACAAAGTGAATTGCAATCTTTTCGGTCGTGGTGAACTTTGAGAAAAACTAATCGTGTCTGATTTAAGGAAGAATTGCAGCCAGAAAACCTTAAATCTACAGATACTTGCCAGTTTTTTTTGTATCGTTTTATGACTAAACTTGGCGTGGTGTGTTTTGCTAAATATGCACAGACAGAATTAAAAGGGGTAAAAACACATTCCACGTTGTTTCTGCCTTCAGCAGGAGGAAACATTTCGGAGAGTCCCTGTAAACCGCATTTCCTATTTTCCCATTTGCCAAGCGAGTCCATGAAATGACGGGAGTTGTGAAAGAAGAGAACTGACAAAATCTGATTGGCTGTTGGCAGCCAGTGACAGAAACAAGTTCAGCCGCTGTCAGAGTGATGAGCTCATTCAGCTTCAGAGCATCATCTGAAACACTGTCGATGCCACCGCCGCGCGTCTGACTCGGTAGAAACCGGTTGTGACACTGCGAGACAAGAAAACCAGTTATTATAACAGCTGCAAAACAAGATAAAAAAATGGGAGAAAGAGAGAGAGAAAACAAACATGCACAAAGATCCAAGCTTTTATTTTAGTTTTAAAAAGTTTTCCTCTCTATCCTGAAAGTTTATTTTGATAATCTGTCGACTGAGGAAACAACACGGTAGATTTCAAGAAGGTGGAATCCGACATCCTCAGACAACTGGAGTTTCTGCTTCATCCTTATTTTTCGAACATGTCTGTTCGGCGGCATTAGGAGAGCAAAACGAGGGGCCGGGTGTTAGCCGGGTATTAGCCAGGTGTTAGCCGGGTATTAGCCAGGTATTAGCCAGGTGTTAGCCGGGTATTAGCCTGGTGTTAGCCGGGTATCAGCCAGGTGTTAGCCGGGTATTGGCCAGGTGTTAGCCGGGTGTTAGCCTAGCATTAGCCCTTTATAACTTGCCGATGATTCGAAGCTCGAAACACGTGAGATTCCATTTCTACCTCATGCAGGGAAAACGTCAAATCAATGTGTTCTTCAGCTTCACGGTGCTTCGTGTTCACCGTGGCGACGTTGGCCGCTGAGTCACGACCTCTGTAGTTTAAGCTGCATGTTCCACAGTTTTCTTTCGTCTCCATCGACCACAGCTTTGCTCTTAACGAAAAGAGGCCAGTTTTCAAAAAAGCTCATGTTTTTCGGTGGTTCTCCGGCCGTTTTAAAACTTTGCAAAACTTGCAATGGAAACAATGAAGAAGACGCCAACGCTTCGTCTGATTGGCTGACATACGATTAGATTTAATAGTCATTCTTCCATGGCTGAATTAAAATATACGTCATGCAACCGTTTACATCCATCATTTTTAGTGACTTATTGACGTGTGATTGTAACCGCGTTTCTTATTTAACGGCAACACCGCAATTGCGAAAACGTGTTTTTCCGACGTCGTTACAATATGGACTAAAATTTGCACACATTTGTAATAGAAGCCGTCGTCAAAGAAAAAGGAGTATTTTGTTGTTGGGCCTGTCTTCCAATGGCGTTTCTGAGACAGAGCAACAATTTGAAAAAATATAAAAAATATATAGCCTATATATGTAGCCTATATATATGCGATGCTTGGACATGTTGGATTCCACAAACCGGATGACGAAGCATCGGGGTTGAGCTTCTACGCCGGATTCGGTTGGAGCACAGTGAGAAACTTTTGGCCCATCTGCCTCCTGGTCAGAGGATGATGGGGGTTGTGAAGCAGAGTTCTGGGTCAGTCTCCTCATTCTTTGGCTCAGCAGCTCCACAGCCTTCCTCTCTGCTGCTCCGGCAGACGCTCCCTGTTAATTAACAAGCTGACACAGCATATGTAGAGGTTGAAATTTGGATGCCACGAAACTCTCCGCCGTCTCCGGGTTTGTGGCAGTAGAAGGTCTCTGAGGTGCTGGGACCTCAGGGGACAGAGCCGGGGAAATCCACCTGCTGGCTTGCTGCCAGAAGCGGAGAGGTTCTGGCAAATTATTACGCCCAATTAGTGCCTGAACAAAAACCACAAAGTTACGCCCGCTACGTTGACGCAAGAGCGCTCGGCAAAGAGCTAAAATGTATTTATTTTTATTCCGCAAATAAAATGTGAAGTTGAACTGTTTTTCCAAGAGGAATTGAGAGACAGGGACTCAGTTCTAACGAGCGCCCCGTCCTCTCACTGCTAACATTTGTCCAGGTAATGAGGACAAGGCTGTTGTCTGCCGCGCGCTCACAATGCCGACTCAGCATTGGCTCTGAACGAGGCAGCGTGGCTGCAGCTGCTCAGCCTGCACCGCCATGTTGGGCTGCAGGGGTCAAAGTCCTTCAAATGTCAGAGGGATTGTTCTGTTCCCTATAAATTTCATAAACTTTATTGTTGGTCCGCTAATGTCATAAAACCCCCCACAATTTTGCAACTGTTGTTTCCATTAAATGGGAAACGCAATTTTAAATCACACAGTCCTTCATAAAGATCCATTTTAGCACAAACAATATGCTAAAAAAATAAAATAAAAGCAGGTCTACATGCCTTCTGCTTTGCAGCCTCTTCTCTTGATCTGGTCCTCATTACAGGTTGCTAAATTAGGCTGGATTACCTGTGAGCCAGCTGTTCGTTTACATACCAGCTTTGATGAAGCGTCGTTACCACAAGAGCTAACCAGGTGTCGGCACAAGAGGGGGCCTCGGCTGTGAAATCTGCCCAGTGCCAATTCTGTGCAGGCATTCAGCTCTGAGAAGTGAGACGATTTGGGAAAAACAAATCAAAAAACCCAATGGCACGCGTGTGAATCTGGTGAAAAGTTTGCTTTCCGCGTAAATGGAAGAAAAGCGGTGAACGGTTTTATAAAATTAGCTCTCAGGTTGTGCCTGTTCTGCATCTGAAGCGATGAGTTTTGCAAAGATGCTGTCACCCGCTGGAACGACTGAAGGGAAAAGTGAAAACTTAAAAAATGTACGGACAGTTGTGATCAAAAAGATTTAGGGTCAGAAACTGCTACTTATAACTCCAGATAACCGATCCACAGCAATAACACGCTCTGATCTGGAAAATTGGAGAAGAAATGCAAACATGAACCAAATTTGGTGCTTCTCCAACTTTCCCAGATGGAATTCTGACTCGAGAGTTCTTGATCCTTTTCCAATTAGGAACTTGAACAATCTAACCTTCAAGTTCAAAGAAAATGCACTATCATTGCTGTTGAATGGTTATTTTATTTGGTTACTTTCCCATCAGCTGACTTCTCCCCAGCGCTGAACAGAGTCTCTGGTGGACAGGTGGAGCGCATGGAGACCGCCCTGGTGTCCGTCCACTTGGCAAAGTGAAGAATTTGAGATTTTCCAGCATATAGCTGGAACTACGCGGTGGAGGGGGTCATATGCTTCTGTGCTCTTTTGTTCATCATTTCGCTGATCCTCCTCTGGGTCTCGTTCCAATGTTGGCCACAATGGTTAAGAACCGACAGAGAACAGAGTCGAGGCGAGGCAGGCAGTTCTCTTGCCTCAGGGCAGGGGGCGCTCATGATCCCAGACATTGTGACTCCACAATTGCAGATTATATTATGGAGTCACTATATATATATATTATATATATATATATATATATATATATTATATATATATATATATATATATATATATATATATATATATATATTATATATACAATTAATGTAACAGTCGTGTTTTTGGTCTGTGGGAGGAAGCCAGAGTACCCAGAGAGAACATGCAAAACCCGGGTCGGGAATCAAACCCAGGACCTTCTTGCTGTGAGGCAACAGTGCTACCAACTACGCCACTGTGCAGCCCCTGATGTTCACCATGTGTTTCTTAAATGTTAGCATTTCTAAACATGTAACGCAGAATGTGTTGATCAGTGAGATATCACACTATGTCAGTGGACAACATTATACAGTTTTACACTTTTGTTATGCTCAGTGCCGTTTTCTTCAGCTAACCATCGGCCATGCTCCTTTGCGGTGTTGTCTTTGTTAGTATCTTTGCCAGTCTTCCTGTTCAGCTGCGATTCCCCAGTCTGCTCCTTTCAGAACACAGTAAACCTCTAGTTTTTGTTGTGGAGCCGTTTCAGAGCTTTCCAGGTCTCCAGGTTTTTATTTCAAGCATTCCAGCAGAATTTACAATTAGATGTCGGCGCCCATTGCCGCTTCTGCTCTGCTGTCGTCTCTTTTAAAGCTACGTCTGTTACGCAGTTGATATCTGCTTGTTGATTCCTCGTCTTCCTAATGAGGTCTCAAAACAGCACATTTTAGTAAAATGTCAAGCGTTCAACTGAAGGCTGACAGATTTCTTCACGCAAGTAGAGAAAAAAACTATTCAATTTGTTTGCGCCGCAAAAATAAAATAACTAAAGCTAAAGGAGAATCTTAGACCTCTTGGTGTTTTTAGCTAAATCTGTTAGAAACCTTTTCTCTTTTAAAACTTAAGTTTTACGCTTTGAAATTCATATCAATTATCTGTTTTGATCCAGTCTGTATGAGTAATAATACCAAATTCAGCTCCATGGATTCGTCTCCTAAAATCAAGTATTTTCTTCAAGCTTTTTTGTCCCATCTGTTCCCGGCCCAGTTGCAGTGTGTACAAAATGTCGATCCTTTTGACTTTTTTGACTATTTAGTCAAAAAAAAAAGACTAAATAGTCTTTTTGTTGTTGTTTCCGATGTGATTCTAGTGCTAAACCAATATATGCATATGATGGTTCAGAGCGCAGACAGGACTCATGCGTCCTTACGTCCCACACCAGGATCCCACACAAATAAGTTTATCTCCAGAGATTTACTCACCGACTTACTAAAGCAACATTACGAAAGAACATCAAGAGTCAAACACACGGTTGAAAAGCTATTCCATTTTTTTTTATGACACAAGTTTGACATTTAAGAAAACTAAAAGAAAAAGAAAAGGGGAAGGAAGAAAGAAAACAAAACATGCATTTTGGTCAACTAAAACTGGGTCGAGATGGCGGCGAAAGGCAACAACACACAATTCAGAATACATTAATACACAATCTTCCTTTCGGTGACCTTTTTGAATGATGGTGACATTTTATTCCAGTACATAAATTCATAAATTACAATCTCCTCTCTTCATATTGCCTGTCTCTATGAGTCTCACACGTCGAGCTGTACATCATCACGTCGCAGCATATATTGCATATCTGAAGTAGAGGTGGGGTAGTCATTTAATTCGCCGACTTCCTCGCAGAAGGGAGGTAATGCGATTGGGTTAGCTTAACGAAGGGGATGAAGACAAAGCAGCGATCATAAACACCGAGGCTTCCTCTCTCTTGTCTGAAACAAGCACAAAGAAATCCTGCAGTGTCGACATCAACATCTTGGTATGAAGGCGTTTGATATTTGCGATGGTATGATTTTTTTTTGTGTGTGTGCATTTGTCCACCTGAGGTGTATCTGGTTGGATATTCATGGACTGTGACATGTATTAAACGATTTGTAATCACTTTTAGTTGACACAAGTGCTCAAATATAAACATACAACATCAATTTAACCAACATTGCTTGCTTTGCTGTTTTCTAAAGACGTGCTACACTCAAGCAGACCTGGGTCAAATAACTTTTGGGCTCACTTTTGAAAAACTGACTCGACCGCATAGATTGTAAAGGAAATCTATGCGGCCGACTGCGTAAAGAGGCTGCAGTCTTCGTCAAAAGAATCCAAACCTGTGCTTTTTAAAAAATAAATATTTATTAACACCGTCACCATGCTGTCACAGTATGGTACGAGACAGATAATGTGTGACAAAATGGGGCTCCTCCGCCTCGTCCCTGAGCTACTGTCACCGTTTGAAGAACGTGCCGCTCCCGGTCAAAAACAACCAATCAGAGTGAAGGGAAGGGACTTCGTGCCGTCAGTCATCTTCATTTACATGCTGTTGAATGTGGTAACAGCAGAGAAACAAGTTACTGTTCTATTAGGGAAACGGAAAACGCGGAAGTGACCACGCCTGCGATGGAAAGTGCATGAGCGGCGTGTGGACGAGGGTGAATGACAGCTCAATTTTTTTTTTTTTTATGAGACAGGCATGTCATCTGCCTCATACCATAATGTTACATGCTGCAAGTTTAAGTCTCGTGCCAGAGGTCTCTTTATGTTCTGTTTGGATTGGATCAGTAATATAGAACTTTAGGACGACCGTTTCAGAACTCATTTTTGTTAGATATGTGTCTTTGGAACTCAAAGAATCGACGGCATCTCCAAGCCAATGAGCTAGATATTAGCCCTGCTAAAAAATAAGACAAACAACAAAAATTTGGATCAGTTTGCCTCTATCGCAATTCGTTCTCTCAGCTGAAATCACAACTTCTTTTCTTTGCAGTAGACGATGAGTTAGCAAAAATGATCTGGACTCCCTTCTTACCGATGCGGGTATGAAAATTCCCTAAGGCTGCTATGACTTGATGGACAGTTGGGTACCAACAATGCGCCCAAAGCGACGTACAAAACAAACGAACTGCAAAAGTACGAAAGAGCAAAGGTCCAAACTGTTGAGCACCCTGCCAATTAAGACTCGCAAGAGAAACCATGGAGAAAATCCCCCAAAACAAAGAAAACAGTGATAATGAAGGCTGTGCTTCAGCTCAGTTGGTCAGACCGGATTAAACCAGATCCCTTTAAACCTATCCAAAGACTTGCCCCAACAGATGACAAGGACCTACTGTCTTGTTGCAGGGATGGTGAAAGTATCCATTGTTCTGATATAAAATGATGATCTCACTTCTATGGTTACGTACTGTTTTTAAATATATTTTGGAGGTTTAAAACATTTAGTATGGAAACAACTATTGCCAACATTTTCCAGGTCTAAAGTCGTGAGGTCTTTCAGGTCAATGGAGGTGCCTTGATAATATTTTCTCGCAAAACTGAATAATAACCGTAGTATTTAGCCCAGGTTTGCCCTCAGTACATTATAGCCCTTCATATGCACTTGAAAAGTAAAAATGGTTCCCTTTGTTAAAGTGAACATTGCTCCCACCTACTCCTCACTTTAAATCTCAGCAGCATTCATGGATTCTTTTCAACAAGAGTCTCTTCTTCAAGTCAGACTCCTTTGTATTTCTGTCCCACAAACGGAGGCCGGTCGGTGTGTCTTCAAAATTAATAAATGAACAAATAATAATAATAGCCTAAAAAATAAAAAATACACAGTCTGTCTTACTCTATGAAATTCACCAAAGATTGGAAAAAAGGGGATGCTACTGTTATCGGTGGATATTAAAAAATAAAAGACTAGCTGTACAAAGTTCAGTGTTTCCTCAAAAAGGAGCTCCACAGGTCGTCTGCAGTCACGCAAGACTGTTTTGTTTTTGCACAAAGGCTCTGGGCACACGGGGTCAATGGAGCCCCGTCTCCTGTAATTGAATGTCATCATAGTAATCACTGCAACTTCAGGCCTGTGCTCGCTGAATGCTTCTTTCATGAAAGCCCCAAGACTGACAAAGTTCAAAGCCAAGTCCTGGCTATGCCAAAACAAAACAAAAAAAAGACAAAAAAGTGAATCGACTGGTAATTACTGCTAAAACCTGTCAGAAAGTAACCATCTCCTGTGCAAAAAGGAAAGAATTAGGCATCTTTTAAAGAACTGACTGATCCCAACAGAGTACAACAGAGCACTGAACGAAGGACACGCGTTGAGGAGTCTCCTCCTGCTACGTTCAAACACCAAAAACGCAGAGGATTTCACTGTTCTGCGGCAGAAGATCAACGTGCGTTTCATCTTTTCTTCCTGCCGCTTGTGTTGACATGCCGAGCGCCGCTCTTCGTCGCGTTACTGTCCTCCAGCGGCGCTTTTCCCCTCCCCTCAATACAAGGAGCAGACGAGAATCCGGGGGGATCTGCGGCGCGCATGTGTCGCCCGTCTTTACCTCGGGCGGACAGGTTTGAGCGGTCTATCGATCCCGTGCTGTTGCATTTCTTCATCGCCGTGGGTGCCAGAGAGCCCGGGGCGAGCAGCGACGTGAGCGACAGACTGTTGAGCGTTTCTGAGACGTGTTCGCTGCCGAGGGCCTGGTGGCAGCCGTCCCTTCCCGTCCCTGTGCCCGCCTCTTCATCTGAAGGGTCCACGCAGTCCTGTTGGGGGCAGCCGGGGCCGCTGCTGCTGTGGCTCCTCTGTTTCCTCCGAGTGGCAGAACCCCGTCCGCTCAGCGGTGGCTGCCCCCAGTCCCCTGAGGGCTGTTCATTAGGGCGCAAGGCAACGGCGGGGACAGGGCGGAGGACGGGCACGGGGAGATCCAGATGTCGAGGTGGGCACACGCCAAAGCCGAGCCCTTCATCCGGCGCGGCCTGCAGGCTGCCATCTGAACTGCCCGTGGCCAAGGACGAGTCGCTGTGCGCTGGATGCTGCACAAAGAGAATGATTACTGAGGTTTTGAAAAGTTAATGCATGTCATTACAAACAGTGATATTTTTCTATTTTAATTGTGCAGCCACTGAAAACCCAAAAGTTATGGTAATCTCAATACTGCAAAAAAAAACACAAAATATTCTGTTTTATTAAACAGAATGTTGGTAGACGTGTCACAATTGTCCCAGAAATTATTGCTGTGAATGATAATATTGTCATTTTACGTCTGTTTTGAACAACTACAATAATAATGGGATATTAATTAAAGTACAGCTCACTATACATCTTTCTTTTATCTATCTCTCATGTATGTATTTTGAACCAAAGTGAGACTGACATGAGTGTCGCCAAAAGACTAATAAGGCTCATAAGGGACATGCGAAGAGACAGAGCACCAAGGAGGGAGAAATGCAGGAAACAGAAGAAAAAAGGCAACATGGGAGGAACTGGAGCCAGCGGGGGGAAATAGTGAGCAGCGCGTCAGCATCAGGCTCTGGGCTGGCTAGGCTAATTAGCTGAGCGCCCCAGAGCATTACTGTTGCAGCTGAGGATCACAGAGCCTCTCAGGCACGAGCTCAACAAACTGAGCAGGTACAGGGGGGTATCTGTTTCCATGGTTACAAAAGAGCAAGAACTAAAAAAAGCTCCTCTTTCTTTTTTATTCTGGGTTGTTTCATGCAGAAGCCAACAAAAGGCGGTGTGTTCGCTTCACTGTGGAGTAGGATTCTCATTAAATGTTCAGCTGCAGAAAACAAAACAAAACGCAGTCATTATCTGAAAGAAAGGCCAGGCTGCTTGAAAACTCTCACTTCGCTCAGTTAAGTGTTGATTTAAAGGCAAAAGCAACAGATTCCAGTTAGTGGAAGTCCAAAAAAACCTGAGATTTAATATCACTGGATTCAAGGACACTAAAACATCGAGACTCTCTAAACTGGACACATGGAAAACATGACTAGATGGGTTTTCCATGTTTGAAAGAGAAAAGCGTTGTGCTTTTACCCGGGAGCTGAAAGGCCTGCTGTTGGCTCCGGGAGACCGAAGAGAGGCCCAGGAGGCGGGGGACGCCAGCCGGGACGGGTCCATGTCCCTCGGCCTCATGCTGTCCCCGTGACCGACTGAGCGCGCTGCGGCGGCTGGGTGGAAAAAGTCTGCTGGGAGCTGAAACATGGGTGAAGCCACATCAGCAGCCCCACTGTGTGTGTTTTCATCGCCTTCTGCGGAAGGAAGGCGACACTTTTAGTAAAGATCGGCTTTTGTGAACACGTCAAAATGAATCGGATGATCTTTATTCTGGATGCAGCAAAGGGTCTAAAGTGCAAAGAGGTAAAAAAAAAAAAAACATAAGAGATGGACGTCGATGCGTTTCAAAATGGCAATGGGAGGTGATGTACACATGAGCTTCCTGAGCACTGCAGGACACAGGGGAACAAAAACATCCACAAACAGATGGCTAGAATTACTCCATGTGGCACGTCGAGTTGTAGCCTTGTACTATTAATGTGCGGCGGGTAAAGTTTCTGCATGCTGCTTCTTGTGCCGTCGCCACAGATGGGCCGTTTACGAAAGGCTTTAAAAAGGGCTATTTTCACACAACTTGAACACTTAGATGAATTTCCTGATCAGCGATTTAACGTGTGCATACATCATACCATACTGCCAATAAGTGTCATCAGACGGGTCATCATTTATGGAAAGTAAGCATTTAACCTCATGGTGAGACAAGGAGAAATCAGGAGGAATCAGATTCCTATGTGCCTCACTTCTAACAATCATATTTGTTCTCCTTTTTGGCATTTTTCTTAAAGCTGCACTATAGAACTTTCATAAAAAAAAAATATATATATATATATATATATATTGTTTTTTTTAACATATTTGTTCAAATTATCATTATTTTGTGACAGTATAGTCTATGAGACAGAAAATCTATCTGCTACCTTCTCCCAGTGCTCCCAGTACTGACCGCAGAACTACACCAGTCAGAAACGACCAATCAGAGCCAGGAGGAGGGCCGAAGCGCTGTCAATCACTTTCGTTCACCCGCCGTTCTCACCCTTCTACGCTGCAGCTAGTTCGCCACAACACAGCTAGCCACACAAGCTAAGGCGAGCTAGCATGGCCACCGTTAACGGCGGAGAAACATTTCTCCAGAAAAAGTTACATATTAGGAAATGTGGTGGGAAAATGATTACAAGTGAACATCTGCTGATCATATTATATTATATGCTTGTGAACTCTCACCAAAAGAATCTGTTTGAGCTACAGACACACACACACGCACACACACACCCACACACACACACGCAAAGTTGGAAGATCCTGCAGCTGCATGGGAACCTGGCTGTCTCCCATGTTTTGGAATGTTATCCTTGGTATAAAACTCATGTGTTGACTCTGCCTGGAGGAGCTTTTAATTCAGAACTTCTTCATCATTCACTGTCTTACAAGCTCTCTGTATTGTGCACAATGTGTAGATAAAACTGATTGAGTGAATACATCTAACAATGTTTGGAACTGAATTCTTTTCCACAACAAGAAAAAAGAAAATAAAAAAAAAAAAGCTTTTTTTTATATATATAAATCCCCTGCAGTACCTTTTTCATGTGCTGAGGTGTGCTGCTCCAGAGAAGGAGGATTAAGAGGTGGGTGGAGGAACTCTTCGCTTTCTGAACTAGAGGGGTAAGGTCTCCTGCAGCCTCCCTGCATGAGCAACTCCTCTGAGCTGTGGGAGTCACTGCTGTCCCTCTGGAAGAAAAACAGGAGAAATTCATAAAAAGCTGGGTCAGTCGAAAAGGAAAACTATGCACAGAGTTGGCGCTACGCCCAAAGTGCACCGGAATTTCACTGAAGCCTTTCATTTCCTTGCGCCGTAACAAAAATCAATTTGTTTCCACTTTCAAAACGCTTGCTCATCATGCGTTCATGCAAGTCTGATTTGAAATTTCTAGCGCCAACAGATATATAGCAACAACAACCGCCTTCAAAGCATCAAATTGCTTAGTTGTCGCCGTCGTCGTTGCTGTTGTTGTCGACTGCACGGCGGGATCAAATGAGCTGAGCAGAGATGAAACAGGCCAGGTGGGCTGGAAGCAAAGACTAAGTCTGAAGATGGAAATATGAAAGACACATTCGGCCTAACGCCCCACGCGCACACGCACACGCACTGCAGCTCAACCACATCAAAACACAGTGGGAGACATGTTTTAGTCACTCGCCAAAGCATAAATGGTAATTAAAGGTGATTAGCAAGTTAGCCTGTCAGGATGATTTGTAGCTCTTTAAAGCTCAAATGACAGTATCTTTTGAAATCTTACCAAAGTTTTCACACCTCTTGAATTTTTCCATTTTTCATCTGTTTATTTTCTTTGTGTCATTACGTCAGCAAATCTACAAATGTTTTCTTGGGAACTGGAGTAGAAGAACAATGCGAAATGGTGCATGACTGTAAAGTGGCAGGAAAGGATACATAGTTTCACTTGCTTCCAAAGAAAAAACTGAAGAATGTGGCATGAATTTGCATTCAATAACCTTTATACTGAAACCTGGAAATGAAGAGCGGCCCAGTCACTGTTAGGAGAAGTAAGTGGTCAACCTGTGTTTAATTACATGTGAGTAAAATGCAGATTTTTAGAGGTTTGTTAAAGGACGTCAGTAAACAAACAGATGAAAACCAAACTACACCAGACCAGCTGGGCATAAAACTACTATATTTAAAGTTGCAGTATGTAACTTTAATAAATAAATTTATTTTTACACATTTAGTGAAACTATCACTATGTCGTGACTTCTGCCCCAAAAACAACCAAAAAGAGCCAGAAGGCGGATCTTACTGCTGATAAGCTGCAGCTAGCATAGCATGTTGTGCTAGCTCAAGCTAGTTAGTATGAACACAGATGATGGCTGAGAATTACTGCAGCTTTAATGTAGCGTTAGAGTTTAAGCCAAACATTCTTATTCCATTTTCTATCTGAAAATGGAAATAATATGGCACATGCAAAGTCCACGCTTACATGTAACTGAGAATTTTTTAAAATTTGGAAAATTTGAATTCAGAGACACAATCCAGACAATCAGACTGAGTTTAAACTATTTCACAAAGTAAAATGGACATTAGTTTTAGTGCCTAAATGACAAAGCTTATAAAAGGATTTTCCTAAATATTTGTAAATATGTGCTTCTGCATAGTATTGACCCAGGAAGTTTAAACAAATGCAACTCACTTTTTAGAATTTTCTTTTGTCTGAAACATGAAAAATATAAATCATCTTCCTCCCCATTCACAATTACGTACCGCATTGTGTTGGTCTACCACATAAAAACCTCCTGAAATACTCTGAGCTTTGCTTCTTTAGCATGAAAAACTGGAAATATTCAAGAAGTATGAATGGTTTTTTAAATTATTATTCTATTCATTAAAGTTTGGCGTCAAAAAAAGTTCCTTAGATGCTATAAATTATTTTTAAGAAAAGCGCGAAATTCGATATAATATCTCAACCATGGAGAGAATTAGAGGTAACCAGAGTGAAACAACACGAGTGTGACAAGTGACTTGGAGAGGTCTTGTTAAGCATGAGTGAGCGAGTCGCAACACACACCTGACTGTCTCTGACAAGCAGCTGGTAGCTGCTGTGTTCATCCAGGCTGAGGTCATCGGGTAACGCTGGAGATGAGGATTTGTCTGACAGCTGTTCTGACATCAGTGATGCCTGCTCCACCTCTGCCAGTCGGATCTGCATGGCAAACACGCAACAGTCAGTCAGAAATCAGGAAACAAAATGTGACGTAGCGGTTAGGAACACCAACTGAGGGTGTAAAAGTTTAAGTCTTTTAATGAGTATTTATCTAACTAAAATAGGACAATATTTTGACTTATTTCTGAGTGTAAACAGATTTTTTAAATTTGTTTAAACATGCAAACATGACGGTATGAATTCATCAGTTCATGCTGGTGGTAGAGTAAGGTGTGCTGAAGGTATTCTCTTGTAAATGTCCCTTGACTATAACCAGACCTAAATGTCCTTGCATAACCACCTTGTGGTTATGCAAGGACAATCCAATATCTCTCTGGGATATGAAGGAACATGGATGAATCATGATGATAGAGCCGACAAAGATCCATGTTATTCGAATGAGAATGTTGATGGGGTGGTGTTAGCTCATCTATTCATGAAGCAAAAAACACACATTTTGCAGTGAGCAGACGGCAAAACGGGAAATAAAACGGCAAACATTAGTAGGTTACATTCATACGCAGCTTAGAAAATGTACATTTAACAGTAAATATGTTTCTTTTAGGGTAATTGACGACAAATATTCACGACCAACACAAAGATCTCAGAAGCTGAAAAAATGTCAATATCATCAATGTATTTTTTCAATGCTGTACTTTACAACGTCAAAAAAAGCAACACATTGACATCTAGTTCATAAGATAATAAATCTACTGTCCCCGTCTTCCTCAGGGTCAGAAAAATGAATTAGTTTGTATCAGACAGGGAGGGAATGTGTGTGCTTGCGTTTCCCACACTCACCTCTTGCGGGTGACTCTTGCAGTTCTTGCAGACGGGAGAAGAGCAGTAGTGGTGAAAAACGGACCCAGAGAGGTTGTCAATCATGTCCCCTTCCAATGAGTCCTTAATCAGCAAAGACACACTGTCCAGCCACTGGCTCTCCTGCAGCACACATCAACAAACACGCGGTTTACCTGACTGGGAACATGAACAAAAACACGGTACCTCGGTGCTACTGTGACCTCATAAGATGAAGAGTGAATGTAGCTTTTATTTTCAGAAGCAACAAAAGAAAAATCTAATTCCTATTCTCTAGATGTCAGTAAGTTTCTCCAATGCAATTTGCAGCTCAGACTTGAAGAAACTAAAGCGTCAGATGTCCTTTTCCGCCGTTCTCCTTTCTTTCCTTTATGGTTTCTCTTTCATTATTGCCTCCTCTGTAGAACATGCCGAGTGCATCGCGGGACGTGCTGTTTAATTAAGCGTAATACGTTGGAGCCGGTGTTATTTTCAGCTCCGACTGGCAGCTGCACGACGGTTATCACTGACTCTTGCACTTGTACCTCTTTCCAACGGGGCCGGAGTTGGAGACAAATGTCAACCCTGCAAGTTTAATTGCAATTTTTCTTTTTTCCATCTTGTCTCTGTCACCTAGTCAAAATCTATTCATCTCCCAAAAGTTTGCCTCCTGGTATCTTGTTATCTTTATGGACCAGTTTGGTTACAAAGCTCTTTTTAAACCACTGGACATTTTATTAACATTTTTTTTTGTCTTACTTGCTCTTTTCTCCCTCTTCATCTCTTGCTAAAGTTTTTATGCTTGTTCCTCCAGTGGTTACCCTTTCCTCTTGTTTTTTTCCTTTCCCATCCAGATACCATTAAAAAGACTTGCTAAAGGGTGGAAGGTGAAGAGGGCAACAGACAATGGCAAGTCCTTGGCAGCGCCCAAGTATTCACTGAGCGTACACATTGCTTCACATGCTGGCAAGGCGCACAGTGGGGGGGCGAGGCAGCTTGATTGATTGATTGTGCTGGGCAGGGAGTGTGGTAAACTGTGCCCATGACCCCGTTTGATTCACTACTATCTGGATTCTTCACACTCTGAAGCCCCTGTTGTGCAATACGCCCATCTTCCTCAATATACGCTTTATATTCCTTCAAAACATTCAGAAGGTGCCACAAAGAGTCGTGCCGTGTGGCTCAACTACTTATGAGGCTTTGCGCTTCTCCAGTGAAACTGTCACAATGAAGGTACTGCTTGGATGCATTTAGGGAAAACGACACGCAGGGACTGAGATTCAGATGTTAGGAGCTCGTCTCCGTCCGTTTCCGTCGATGTGTCCTTGGGCGAGACACTTGACCCGCCTTGACGGATAGTGTTGGTCAAAGGGTCCGGCGGCGCAGATTGAATGGCAGCCTCACTCCTGTCAATCTTCCCCAGAGCAGTTGCGGCTGCAATATAGCTTACCATAATTAGTGTGTGAATATGTTTATGAATGACTGATTGTATTCTCACAGTTCTTGCATATTTGTTTTTAAAAAAAGACCTTCAATATTTCTCGTTAGAAACGTTTCCATTTCTTGCTTGCTACGATAGTTTGAGGAGCTAAGCAGCTTCATAAATTTGACTGAGTTTCAGAAACAACATTTAATTCAATTATTTTAACTTATATTTCAGTAAAGATAATGGAAAGCCAAAGTTCTGATGAAAAAGTGTAAATTTAAGATTTAAAAATGTTCATGAAATGAAATTTTTTTTTCCGTCATGTTTTTTGTTCACTTTCTCTCCAACTGTCTGAGGCCCCAAGAAGGATGTTCCACATTATTAAGCAGGCTAACAGGTTTCAAGCAAGATGGGAAAGAGAAAGGATCTCTCTGCTGACGAAAATCATCAGCTAGAAACATTAGCTTTTTAACAAAAACTGAAACGTTATGGTTCTGAGAAAAGATTTGTGGCTGATTCAGACCAAAAATGGGTTTGTATAATGAAGAAGGTTTTTTTGGCATTGGCTGCTACGGACATGAAAGGGGAGAAACTCATGGTGTGGTCACCATCCTCCTCTGACCTCTGACCCTATTAAGAACCATTGGAGTTTCCTCAAGCAGAACATCTGAGGGTTGAATGCAGTTCATATCAAAACAGGAAAAGGTTTTCTGAAATCCTGCAAAGAAATTCAAGCAGAAACTTTCCACAAACTCACAAGTTCAATGGATGCAAGAATTGTGCAGTGATATCAACGGGATCCCATGTTAACATGTAACTCTGTCTGTTAAGATGTTTTGATTGAAGTAGCTTTTGAGTTTAGTACATGTGACCACTTGATGCTGCACATTCAAAGAATGACCGTTTGCAGTTTTTTATAATCCATAAAATGTTTTAGAAAATATGTTGTGCATAATAATTTGGAACAGTGCATTTTGCATTTTTTATTTTTGAAAAAAAAAATACTGTTGTCAGAGGGAGTTTCAGTAAAATTTGATTTATATTGTAATAGTTCATGACTTGAGAATTATACTGACCATCATTTGCATTGACCATTTAGGAAAATCTGAGAAAATATGACTTGCATAATAATTTGGAACAAGGTGTAAACTAAAGAGACAACTCCAAAACAAACAGTGACAGTAAACAAACTACCATCAGTAATAGCATCAATGCTGTTATTAAAAACATTTAGATCTATTGTACTTATTGTTCAATTTTTCAGAAAATTTGGGTTTTGGGTCTTTATTACTCATTTATAATCTAAATTATTAGGAATAAGTGCTTAAAATAACTTTAGTGTGTGTAATAAATCTACATAACAGCAGTTTCACTTTTTGAAAAGAATTTCTGAAACGGCCCATTAATCTGCTTACCATTTCTTTGGCCAATAAACTATTATATTTTGTGTACTAGCCCTTTATGAGTTTCACTTTCCCCTCCATTTCTGTTTCTCTTAGTACAGGACTGTGTAAGAAAGAGAGAGACTGGAAAACATTTTAATTACACAAATACAGGTGGCAAGGGAGTTCTTATTAACATATCAATGCATTGGTGTTGCTTGTTTTCACTTTTCAAGGTTTTACAAATCTTAATTCACACTGTGTCTATTTAGTGGTAATTGGTCACTGTTCTTTTGTTTGCTCTTTTTTGAATATTTCTTTGAAACAACCCCGTCGCAGATTCCTCATGCTAGGGTCATTAGCAAGTGAAGTTATTCAGATAATATGAATTATTTAACAGGCATATTAAAATAACATCATTCTGGCTTCTGTTTGTGTTTTGTTTGGAAATAAGTTATTGCGATGGTGGACTATGATGTTGTTTTAAGGCCAGATTTAGATAAAGAGCTGGACGCATCAGATCTCAAGTCTTTGTTCTGACAGCAAAGACAAGGTGGGAATTCTTATTTTGATCATGTAATTGATAGTTCGGTAGATTCAGTTCGTTTGGGGACCAATCGAACTTCCAACTTCTTCTTCCATTTTCAGCTGGTGAGGTCTGCTTTCAGACTGCATTGTCAAACACAGTGTAGTATAGTAACGAAGTAAAAATACTTCAATACTTTAGTATATTTTGGAGTACTTCATACTTTCCTCGAGTATGAAAATTTTTGATAACAATACATTTTCAATGTGTTGTTTAGTTACTCGTTACTGTGACGGAGAAAGACAGATCTTCCCTTCCCTCTCCTTTTCCAGTTTCATTCTCTTTTCAGTCTTGCAAAGTTAAAGATATCAGTGAGCTGACAAAGAGCTCTAAACACAATGAGCCTGTGGGAGAGCCTGCCGCCCACTCACAGTTCACTGTTTTCCCTCCTCTGAGAGCATCTATTGCTGTTTTCTCTTCCCTTCCCGCTCCGCCATTGATTCAATGCTATTCCATCTGATGGGTGGCAAAGGTCATTTCTTGCTAGAGAACAATGCTATGAAAGGTCACAGAGCATTTTTGCTGACAGGGTTCCCAAAAAGAGTCTAGTCGGAGTTGCTGTGAAGATGACTAATATGAAGGGGATGTTGTCTTTTCAAGTTGGGAACAAAACAAGTACTTAAAAAAAAAAGAAAAGAAAAGCATAATAGATAGAAAATGGAGCAACATAGGAAAACAGAACAATATGCTGGGAAGTGACTCTGTCCAGTTCAGTAGGTTAAAACGTCAGAGCCAGGATTATTTAAAGCAGGCAGGATGAGCATTTCTACATAATTAGACAGATCAAGTCAA